GTTTTGGTCCCCTCTGTTACGTCCACTCATTTTATTGAAAAATGTTTGTTAAACGTTATGACGCGTATATTTCTCTTATGCTTCTCCATCATAACTTAGCTAAAATCAACAAAATGTGTTTTGAACTGTTCAGTCTTGTTTAGTGCGTTGTTGAGTAAGGAACCCAATTGTATGCCGGGTACGTACCCTTATTCAGTGTCAACTCTGTTACTGTTGAAAAACGGTGAGTAAAGTGATTTTTTATTTATTTTATAATTTTTTTATAAATATTTTATGTACATTAATTAAGTGGACAAATAAATTCTCCAAAATTCGAATAAAAAGCTAAAATATGGTATTTTTGAGTTAATTTGTCCCCTCTGTTACCGGTCCACTCTGTGACTTATTAACTCCAAAAACTCCAAAAATTAAAAAAAAATACTGCTGGTTATGGATTCCTATTGTTGATACCATCCGTAACCACATGAGGCCAATTATAAACATATTTGGCCAACTTAATTTTTAAAAATTACAAAATTCAGAATGGTCATGTTTTTTAAGAACGACCCATTTGCAAATTGATTCTATTGGCAAACAGCTGGCGTACAAACGTAGCATAACTGACAGTAACAGAGTGCAGGCGCCGTACTTGTATGAACAGGTTTCCGAGCAAGTCGGCACGGGTTGCAGTTGTCCAAATAAGACAAAAATCTTTTTTCGAGTGTTTTACTGATAAATGAACAAAACTAGAGCCTATGCGTAGTAAAATAATAACATTGAAAAATAAGGGACACCCTAATGTACATACATATATATAATTATTAATAAAAACGGCATGTTTACGTAGATACATTTAACCTTCAAATATTTAGGTTTAGCTGCAAACGCATACCTATACATCCATACGTTTGTACTTCGGTTGAGCACTAGTTAATATTTAATTTAAATAATGATGCTCGCTTATTTCATATAATAATTAATAAAAACGGAATTTTTTGAATATATCTAATCATATGTTGTTTTTTTTACAAAACCCGTACAAACATTGCCGTGTAGAGGTGGGTAACTCAACTCAGAGTTGAGTTATTGAGTTGATTCCTATAAGTGAATCGGTAACTCAGACTCCCTGTCCAAAAAAAATGTAACTCAGTAACTCAGTTGATGCCGTAGGGCTCACATGAATCAATTGAATCATAGTGGCTCATATTTGTCCATATAACTCTCTCGCTTCGCCACAGTGTTTAGCATGGCAAAGTCTTGCATTTTGTTTTTGCACGAGGCGAATTTATACAAGGTGGTGGCAAGAATACAACAACAACAACCACATGTATTTTGTATTGCGGGTGTTATGTCAAATCTCACAAATTCTTATAATTTGGTTTTTTTTTTAGTTTTTCTCGAAATATGTATGTATGTAAGATATATAAAGATGTGCATATCAAATCAATTGCCTTTCCAACCATATCCACATTTTGAAATTCGGTACAATAGGTTTCGAAATATAAGCTTTTGAAAATATTGAAAATTCCACCTTTACCCTCCCCCTAGCACCGCCCTATTAATTTGCACACAAAAAAAATTACACCTTTCAAATCAGTAGAAAGGAGCTGACCACGCCCACTTTAAAGTTTTGTTTTATCTCAACGGCCGCTATACCGCATCTATGCCTCAAAACGAGTCTACGATACGAATGAGTGTAACATACAAAGAGTCAAATGAGTTAGTTGAATGAGCTGATTCCTTAAAGTGAGTTGGAGTCATTGAGTCAACTCCTATAAATTTGCTGAGTTACCCACCCTTATTGCCGTGCGAAAAAACTTAAAAACAATTACTCGCGTTATAAATAAATTTTTTCATAGTTTTTGTAAAATAAAATAAATAAAATGAATTTTTCTTATAAATTAAAAAAATAAATAACGCTACAATCATTGCGCGCGATATAAATTCGTTGTGTCTAAGTAAATAAATTTGTATTGATTTGTTTCAAAAGTACAGTTCATTATACAACGAAATCCACAAAAACCAGAGTTCCAAACTTTTTAAAAAATTTAGGAAATTCAACAAATTTTCATGAAAATTTTCAACTTTTTGACCAGTTTTTTTAGAAAGATTTTGAGTATGCGGTTTTATAGCGCATTGAATTCTAGTTCAATAGAATGCGATTTTGATGAGGACACCAAAATGTCGTCTCTTTTGCAATTTAATTTCCTTACGCAGCTCCTCCTCCGGATTTGTTACATTCGGCAGGCATGAAATGGCATCTATTTTCAAATAAATACAAATTTATATTCAAAAAAGTAATTATGTAATGAGTCTGCAAATTCGCTTTACCCAAAAGTGCTCCATAAAAAGTAGTAAAATCCTTCAAACGTTTTTTCCCATGGGACCCATGTCAATATTGCAGTTAAGTATAATTCCGTCTTGTAAAATGTTTTTCAAATTCTTACAAGCGTTATGCTGAAAAATGCTCTTCATTGTAGAAACCTGTTAAACAAAAGGCGATAGCAAAACTTTGTAAGAAAATGTCAGATTAAAATAATTGTTCTTATAAAACCTGGAGAATCAGAGTTCCAAACTTTCGCAATTTTAAGAAAACTGCAATTTTTTATTGGATTGTTTACACACAATTTTAGCGTGCGGTTTTGCAGCCACTTGAATTTTAAAATAATAAAGTACAAGTTTAAAGAACCTGAGAATTACCGTTAGTTTTTGTTAATTTTTTCTCGTTAAATGGTTAGTTATTTTCTGCCATATAACGTAGACATATAGCGTAAGCGGCTTCTTCAAAATTGGGTTTTATTACACTAAAATTCAATGGCCTACAAAACTGTTTACTCAAATTTGCTTCTCTAAAATCGAAATTCAGCGAAAAAATTGTACTTACATAAGTTTCACGGTTTTCTGGAATGATTTTTTCCTCAACTGATTTCAGATCATCTTCCGATTTGAGTGGAAATAGTTCGGCTACTGGCGCTCCAATAGACTCTTGGCAAAACTCATATGAACCCAGGTTTGAAACTTTGTAAGCGACTACAAAAAAAATTCAACAAATTTCCACCCAAATTTCAAACTTTTTTGTCAGGACACAGAACACAGTTTTATAGCTCATTAAATTTTGGTCTAATAATGTGCAAGTCTCAAGTGGTGTTTTTGTTTGCAAGTTTTGTTAGAGAATGAACTGTATTTTAATTGAAAATTAAAAAAAAATACATAAATAATTTAACATAAGAGACAAACAATATCACTTTGAAATGGGGGTGCTATTGTATTGGCCAATACTGTATATGTATATGTATATTGGTTTTATTTTGCACAGCACTGTATAATACTTACACTGAGGTTGAACATATTCAGATGTCTTCTCGAAGAGTTTAATTTTCTTGTACATTTCCTTAGCTTTAAAATAATAATACATAAAAAAATTAGTGCTGTTTAATTTGGCAAATTTAATGTCTGTTAATAGCAGCCATGTAAAATTGGCATAATAAGTAAGCGGTCATCAAGAGGATGTCCTTACAACTTACAATCTATTTCACTGAGCGGAAAACAAAATTCTTCATCGGAAGGATTTTTGTCTACGGTGCATATTCCCAAAGTCATGGAATCTATAGGATCATCAAAAAATGGTTCTAAATTAAAAAATATCCCCCCCCACGACTGACCCTCCATTTTCATTCGTAAAACGCTGGATTTCTATTGGAAGAAAAGGCCTGACGAGACAATAGTCATTAGGAGTTTTTACAGAGAAAACATAGTTCTTGTGATAGTATTGAAATGCACCATTTTTTAATAACTTGAGGCCATTGTATTGTTTATCCATCACTAAATTTTCGTGTGCAATCCTATTACAAAGCTGTTTTAATATCTGCGTTGGTTTTTTTTATATAGCTTTTCAATGTTTGAAGATGATTTTCAAAACTATAGGCAGATGTTTCCGACAGTAAACCTAAGCTTTTTACATTATTCACTAAGTGCAATAGGTTGTGCACGTTGTAGGTCACACTTGTTTCTCCAAATATGCGAGGAAAGTTTTGAACGATATTAATATTTTTTATGTAACTTTTTGGGCAAAACAATAACCTACAAGTACAATGCAGAAGTAGAAACTCATAGTAAACATCAGCTGAAACATGAACCTGGATACCAGTATAAAGGAGAAATTGGCGAAATTCGGTGGCCTTTCAATGTAAAATATCTTCAAACCCTCTTGGTTTCCTTGCGAATTCCTGGGAAATATGAGGCTTCAAAAACTTTAAGCTATTGGAAATTTTGTTTTTGTTCTCTTTTGCTACCCTAATGATTATTTTATCTTGCAAAATTTGCAGAAGAAATTTTCGCATTACCCCTAAATCGATTAGGTGCATGGCATCTAAGGCCACCTGACTAATCATTTTTACGCCAATACTTTCTAAAGGTGTTTTTTTGTTTCGACAAAGTGGCAAATGATGTTTAAAATACTTTCGGTTGGAGAAATCTTCATCAGAAATTAACTCCGCACTTTCTACCGTGTACACCAAAACATTGTCTATTTTACGCCCTTGAATACATTTCCACATCCAGATGCTGATGTATGACCTGGAGTGCCACAAATAAATGCCTTTGCAGGGTCATCACATACAATCGACCGTATCCTAACTTTAACCACTTTTCCTAGTAACTCTATTCCATTTTCTAAAATATTTCTCATTTATTCCAAAAATGCTGCTAAGTAGATTTCTATGGTATCCGGCTTCTTTGCCCCCAAATAAATTCCAACAGGAAAATCCGAAATATTGTCGACGTTTGCTATTCTCAACAATATTGGCCATAGCTGAGCACGGGAACTTCTGAATAATACAATGTTCTGACTGACAGCGAAAACACGTTGAAAACACGGTTTGGGGATTGTGGACTCAATGTCGTTCTGACCGACATTTTGTGTTTTCGATCTGTTTTCGTTGACACTTGAGACATCATTGTGTTTGTTTACATTTATTAGCAACGAGAATGGTAAGATGTTAATTCGTATAATATTTGGTTAAATTGTTAATAAAATCGTGTTTTATAGAATTCTGACAAAAAAAAAAACTCTAGCGAAAGTATTGGCTTTGAGAAGCCACACAAAAATATTGTGCGCCGATGATTTCATAAGAGAAGTGATGGAAGCTATCACTAGGAGGCACTTATCCCTTGCAGAGAAGATCGCGAAATTAAAGAAACAGCGTTTGATCTTACTCAGTTTAATAAAGGAACTTGGGATGCCGATCAAATCATGTTGGACAAAAGTTTGTATATTTTTCTACCAACGTAGAAATGAGGATACAAATAAATGCTAATAATTCTAGGAACGTAAGCAGCATTTTTGAGAATTTGATTGCCAAAGAAATGGACTTACTTTTTTTAGAGAAAATTTTCGCATGAACCGTAGCTCATTTGAGAAACTATGCGACATCCTTAGGCCTCTACAAAAAATGGACACAAACTATAGAAAAGCTATTCCACTTGAAAAAAGAATGGCTATAGCAGTATTTTACTTTAGGCTCGTCTGCAGAGTATCGGTGCATCGCAAATATGTTCGGTGTAGGCAAATCAACGGTATGCCAAATTTTGCTGGAATTTTGCAACAAAATCTGGAGGCTTCTACAGCCAACTTACCTACTTGAATAAATTGCCACTTACTAGGGAAATTGTGGCTGAATTGGTTAGTGGATTCGAGACACTTGGATTCCCGCAATGCTTGGGAGCAATTGGTTAATATAATAAACGATAATGCCTAATCTTTTCAGATACCGCTTCATTTACATAAACGTCGGGAGTCCCGGGCGATGCAACGACTCACAAATTTTTGAGTCATCATCACTTAAGCAGGAGATAGAGAATTGTCCCTTACTAAGCGAAATGACTCAAGAAATTTCTGGTGTAAATGTGCCAGTATTTATTATTGGAGACTCGGCTTTTAGATTTAGCAAAAAAACTTATGAAACCGTACCCATTTAGCGTAAATCAAAACTCAAATGAAAAAGTATTTAACTATGCTCTTTCAAAAGCTCGTAGAGTTGTCGAAAAGGAATTGACAACTCTATACGGAATGCCAATTCCATAATTAAAGCATGTTGCATCCTTCAGAACTTTCTAAATGATTGCAATGATTCCCTAAACAGTAAATGGTTACGGGCTTTGGAGGAGTTGGAGACTAGGCGACAATACCCGAGTGATGTGACATATATATCTGATGACCCAAGTAATGCAGAAATGATACGATCTGCGCTGTGCACGTATCTAAGTAAGTATATTAATTACACCAATTACCAATTACAAATATAAACGAATAACGAGCTATGTTCTCTTCATCTCTATCTTCTACTTCATCATCTATTCCCTTAATATCAATATTAATCTTTGTCCTTATTTTTATATTTGTCTTTGTCGTTGCCTTTGACTGCGCCTTTGCCTTTGTAACTTTATAGAATAAAATACCTATATAGATATGATTCCCATATCTTCTAAGTGATTTTACGGATTGGAATAAAATGTGTATAGTATAACAACCTTCTCCGTGTACTTCCCTACAATCCCTTAAAATTTCGTTGAACGTAGCCGTTGATTTTCTGTCTACGTCTTTTTAATATGCAAAGTTTTTTATTCTTATTTCTAATTCTAATATATTCTAATTCATAGTTTCAAATATTTCATATTTACATTATTACTTTTTTATTTTTTTTTTGAGTTATTCATATTTGCACACATTTCACGCGCACACTGTGGCGAACAAAAGCATTTGTACTGAGAATTGTTTGCAATATATGCAAAGTTTCTTATTGTAATTTCTTTTCGATAATGTTTTATAAAAACATATTTCATATTGCACCAAAAAACATAACAATAAAATCTCTAAACTTCGTGAAAAACTCTGAAAAATTAAATAAATTTGTATACTAATTTGCAACTTTCTGTTCAGATTTTTGGGAAAAATTCTTGGCATGCAGTTTTATAGCCCATTCAATTTTAGTCACGGGAAAATTTGAACTTGCTGAAAAATTCACGAAGTTTAGAGATTTTATTTCTATGTTTTTTGGTGTAATATGAAATATGTTTTTATAAAACATTATCGAAAAGAAATTACAATAAAAAACTTTGCATATATTGCGAACAAAATCTCTGTGCCAATACTTTTGTTCGCCACTGTATGCAATATTTTTAATTCTTTAGAAATTGAAGTATAGCTTTGTTAATTTCTTTCGTTTCTTTAACATACTCTTCCATTAGTTGGGTTTTTCTGTAATCGTTTTCAACCAGTTTCTCTGTCATTATTTTTAACTGTTGGCTTGATTCTTCATAATCTTTGTTAGACTTCTCCAGCTCTTTTTCTGTTTGGTCAAATTTTTTTAATAAAATACTTTGAAAATGATTTCTTCGTTTATTTGTAGGCTCGCTGATTTCGGACGGATTGGGTGACATGGTCGATGTTGACGGCTCGGGTGACGACATGGTAATTGCCGAAGGCGAAGGTGTCGATATGCTAATTGCTGACGGCGAAAGTGTTGAAGACGGTGATGGCAATGGAGATCCATCAACAACACATGAAGAAAGAGATGCAGCCGGTTCCTCCGAAATTCGTACCGATTCGGAGTTAGTGGATCTGCATATTGAACTATTGCCTTTTTAAAATAAGCACATATTTATGAATAAAAAAAAATACACAAATATTAAAACAAGGTCTCTTACTGCTAAAGCTTTCTTCCAATAAGCCCTCCGGGTTGTAACTCCGATATGGCGAAAGCAGGGCACTCATTTTACTGAATAAGTGCCACTGTGAGAGTGAACCGCCAGTTGGACCGACTGCTTGCTTTTCCTTACTGTAAATGATAATGTTAATTAAACTATTAACCTTTACTATAGCCTTAGTTCACTCACCTAAACTTTTGGGACAGGTTGTGCGTTTTGCTCTTTATTTCAGCAGCTGTGCACACCACGCCTTGTTGCTGCATCTTCAATTCCATTTCCTCAATAATATGGCTATTTTTTCTGTGCCCGCGAAGTGCGCCAAATATCTATTAGCAGGGCTTCTCCGCTGTCGTTCCAAACATTCCTTTTCTTATACTTAGTTTTCTCCATTTTTTTCACTAAATCCACATAAATAAATAACAAGTGACAATTTAGGGATGACAAAATATGTCTTCCACTAATATCGAATAAACTAGTGCAGGCACTGATTGGACCGAGTGGAGCGTGAGTTTTCAAGTAGTTTTCAACGAAAACTGGTTTCCGACGTGTTTTCATTTGACAGATTTTACATGGACGAAAACACAAGTTTTCGGTTGAAAACCAGTTTTACCAACGAAAACATGTTTTCGATGTCGGTCAGAACATGGTATTAGGGAAGGCCATCTAAATATATTAATATCCACTTATATTGAGTCATAATTTATTAAAACCCTAGCTACTTTTTTGAGTTGTACTCCAATTCCTATATGACAATAAAAGCCGGGTGAAACTTTTTCGATAATGGCCTTCTGCCTTGAAATCAAAGACTTAGAACTTCGCGGAACATCTAAATTTTCAGTACGCAAAATTTCTAGTAGTTCTTCAAAAGATTTTCGGGTCGGCTTATTCCGAATATACCACTGCACTATCTTTTCTTTGAAAGTTAACTTCTTTGCACTTTCTTCGTCTTCACTTTCATATTCTTCACACAAAAAAATTGCCTCTGTTGCAGGCTCACTGGCAATTGCCGGCTGCGCTGCCACCTTTGCGGCTTCTAACACTGCATTACTTTCACCCCTCAATCTGTTTAAAAAAAATTTCCTTCTGTCTTTTTTTGCCTCTTGACAGTCCGCTTACTCATTTTGCATTAAAATATTTAAATAATTACTTCTTTTCTTTTAATAATTTTACAAACAAATATCTTTGCCACTTTTCTGCTAATGACGCCACTCTAAAGATGCCGAAAACAAACTAAACTAAAAATCTCGTTCGTTGACGAGGGTTGTAGCCGAGCGACCCGTATGCCGATGTTGCACTGACTTAAACAACAACAATGCAGTTCATGGTACGAACACGTTGGTGTTTGCAGAGATAAACGCATGGTAGTTACATTTGAATTTTTTACACTTCGTCTGACAGCAGAAAGCGGAATTTTTTAAGTACCCAGTGTCCCTCATGGCATAACAAAGCAACCAGTCTAAGTCTTATGCGGTTAGATACTATCTCTGAACTAGTAACTTTATTTCATGGGGACACTTGCGCACTGCAGGGTAGGAATGTTTACTGCCCGTCGAGTCATCGAGAAGTACTAGAAGACAGAGGAGTAAGAAGCGGATATGCAAATGTATGTCAGTAGGTTTAACTGTTGGTTGAACTTCAATTCCTTTCAATGCAGCTGCCACGAGTTAAAAGGCTCAACAAAGTTTATAATATAAGCACTTGCAAGTGCGTTTCAAGAAAAAGGATATGTGCCTTCGTTTGCTTGAGAAAGCAGCAGGCACAGGGGATTTGGAGTAGGGATGTTGCGAATGTGGAATTTTAGACATCCGCGGATACGAATGCGAATGCGGATGTCAAATACAGTGAAAGCTCCAATATGTGGATACCGATGGTCACCTTTTTGGTCCGCCTATGTGAGAATTCCGCTTAAAGGAATTTCGTAAAAAATAAAATAAAAATTCATACTTAAAAAAATAAAATTGCGGATTTCTAAATTAAAATAATATTTATTCTTCAATAGACAGGGTGAATTAAAAATACATTCAAATTTATTGCGTTTTCTTTTCTACCGACAAATCTCATCGCCCATTGGCAACGAAAAGCCAACACTTTTTCGAGAAAAGAAAATATTTTTGAATATGGACTATATTCTTGTGTACATATCGAGCCCTAACCGCCAAAATAACGTAACCGCCAATATTCCTAGAGCATCTAGATGCATTTCTCCATCAAAAATAAAATTTTGAAAATAATGTCGCTTACGTTATTTTGGCGGTTATGGCTCGATATACATATGTAGAAGCGGAAGAGTCAACATTTGACTGAGAAGCAAAACAAAATTGACCGCTTGTTAGAGCTTCGCGTCCGCTTATGGGAGAGTTTTTTTCATAACTGGACATTTTTGAGTGTCCGCGACCGTTTATCGGAAAGTCCGTGTATGGGAGAGTATTTTGTATGGAAAAAAAAAAAACAAAAATTGTTCGTTCCCAAGAATGTGTCCGCTTATTAGAGCGTCCATCTATGCGACCTCTCACTGTATTTTAAGAAATATTTTTTGGTGAGTACATTAGGTGATTTAGGTAAAAAAATGGAAAATTTAGTAATTTTTAATATTTTTTTTTATTTAGTACTTAAATTAAAAAATTGGAACATTGTATTTAAGGAAGAGGAATTTTGCTGCTTTTTCGGGTTACAGCCTGTTCCCTAACGAAAAACTTGAAACTTTACAAAAGTGTAAATTCTTTTCGATTGAGTTGAGAGGACTTCAGTTTTTTGATGCGGTTCAATAATTCGAGAATTGCATCGGGGCTGCAAATCTCGGATGCATCATCCTAAATTTCATCTTCACAATCTAGCATCATGGCAATATCGCTGTTTAAACACCGTTGTGTTCCAATTTGGAGAACCAATTCTTTTGGTTGTTTCAGAATTTGGAGAACCTGTTACGACATCAGCGTTTTTCGATTTTAGTTTTTGTAATTAATTTTTAATCCTGTCTTCTGTGACTGGTTTGAAAAATGTGTGCTTATAGCGTCGCGACGTTGTGAATAGGTGGATATGGCTGATAAATTGTTATTTTGTAGGAATGAAAATTTCGAAGAAGATTCTGTTTTGAAAGTCGTGGCTGCAAGCAGAATTATTTTAAAATCTTGTTATTTTGTTAAAAAGGAACCCCGTTTTTTATAATAATTTCAATTATTGGAATTTTATTAGTTAGCTGACCTTGGCTTTTCCTAGTTTCAGGCAGTCATAATTAATTACTCGCCGCTGTCGGTATCATAAGCCATCAAATCCGTTTTGTTGTTCCATTCCATGAGCTCAATGTGTTTTGATATATTTTTTGGGGCACTTGCACAATATTCGCATTCGCAAAAGCTCCGAATTGATTATTGGGAAACCGAAAGCGAATGCGAATGTTAAAATTTATGCGGAAGTTCCGCGGTTGCGAATGCGAATATTCGCAACAACCCTGATTTGGAGCATACGTTTAAACACAAACCGGCGAGTTTACGAGCGCGGAGTGAAAGTCAAAGAAAATTACTGTAAGAAGTGCATCTGCATCGAGGAGAGAACAAACTACATGCGTTAGAAGCTGTTAAGAAGTTCTCACAAAACATATATATATATATATATATATATTCATATATACATATACATATACATATATTTATGTATCCCTGCCAGCATTAGCGCACACAAGGGGTGGGTTTTGGGGTTCAAACCCCCCCCTAAAGCTAATAACCTCAAATACAATCTATATCTTAAAGCTAAGAATCCAGCTCTCAAGGAAATTATAAGAAATATTTATTATAATTTCTGTTGCTTGAAAAAGCGCTTTGCTTTTGTTGTAAAATTTTCATGAGGATTTATTCCCTCATGAAAATTTTACAGCAAAAGCAAAGCGCTTTTTCAAGCAACAGAAATTATAATAAATATTTCTTATAATTTCC